CTATAAAAGGGGAGAAATATAATCAAATCTCAAATAATAAGTTAAGAATTAATTTTTTTTCCTTACTTGCTATTGTAATTTAGGAAATCTTAATCTATTTTCTTGTTTGTTAATACGAATTAGGAAATAATTATTAAGCATTCCAAATAAGATGATTTTATATTTGTTAGTATATTAAATAGAAATAATTTATATTAAATAAATATGAAAATAAAAATAGATTTCTTTAATGGAGACTCATCTCCTCCTATATAAGAGGAGGGATTTCTCTCCTTCGTTCCTCACTTAGCTGAGCCCAACAACAACAACAAAAGGAACGATGAGTTATACCGAGGTAGGTTTCCCTACCTTTCTTGAATATAAAAGTTTTAGTTTTTATTTAGATTCTTTAAATGTTGAAAGTTTTATAGTTTGAAAAATATTTATCAATTCTTTAAATATCAAATTTTTATTATTACATTAAAGTCAATCAATTAAAGTTTTTATAATATTTTTTAACCCCTGATTAAGGTTTTTATTATAGATTTAAACATGTTAAAAATTTATATGTTTTATATGATATTTCATGGCATTAAAATTTATCTTTAATCTTATCTAGATTATAATTTTGTTATATTAAAAAATATTATCTAAATTTTTTTGATATTCTTTGATCTGAAATTTAAAATATGTTATTCTGAAATTTAAAATATTGATTGAACTAAACTAGGCTTGATTGGTCTAGATCGATTTAGGATGATTCCGAAATGATTGACTTATTCAAGTTATTTTAACCTAAATTGAACAAAATCTAGTCCAAATTATATTAGTCTAGGGTGGTTCCAAACCAGTTAAATGTGGATTAGAGATCGGTTCAATTAGATTTTAGTAAATTGAGTTTAATTGGATCGATTGAACTAGAGTTCAAGTCAATTAAGGGCTAATTTGTATTATTTGATATTGATGATATTTGAAATAGATGTTTTAAATGTGTTATTTCATCCCGATATGGATATGACTAGTGTGAGATTATGTTATTTCCCTACTAAGAGCAGGTAGGGTGATTCCCTTAGGGAATTAGTGGGCCGTTAGATGTGGCGACTGGACGGTTCCTCTATCCGCTATTGGGAGGAATGTGTCCCCACTTTAGTGGGTGAGAGATACCACCACTTCATCCACTGTTGGGAGTGCAATATGAGTTTACCTCCATCCGCTAGTGGGAGAATACAAACTCATCCCGTAAGATAAAGTCTCTCCATCCGCTGTTAGGAGAGTGCTCCTTCGGATATTTGATATACGCCAATGGGATAATTGAATTTTGATCATGTATTTATTTTGAGTTGACTTTTAGGGTTCTTACTCAACGTTGCTGAATTTTTCTTGATTTTGATTTTCATAGCAGCCTCCCTCTAGTACTAAATCGGATTACAATAAAGAACGGACCTTCCTTTACCGCTAAGTAGAGCCACTTGGATGATTCTTGAAGTTAACGTTACTATGTTTAGTTTTATACTTATGATTTGACGAATAAATAAATTATAATAAATATTTATAAATGATAAATAAAGTGATATTTATCTATTTGCCTCTGAATATATGGAAAAAAATGAAGAAAAAAATCCATAAAATTACTATTCCGATGCAGAAAAAATAAAAAAAATATAATTGAGAGTCATTGAATAGCGAGACAAGTATTAAAAATCAAAAAGATCTAGGACCATATTAGAAAATCTATGAAGAGAAAAAGATGATGGGTATCAATAAATCATAAAAGAGAGTATCGAAGAAAATAGAAAATCTTAATAAACTAAATATTTTTATTAAATATAAAAACTTTTAATATCTCATATCCTAGATCTCTAAGCCTTTTGATTCTTTATTTCTCCTAATTGTATGTCTAAAGCATCATACGAACTCTTATTGATAGAAGAGTTCCACTTCAAATATGATACTCTTGTCTTAACTAAGACTTCTAAACCATAATCTTATCTAATCATAAAGTTTAATTTATATTCCAACATCTTCTCTTAAAATAAACTTACAAGTAATGTTATGAAAAACTTTAAAGTTTGATGCAATCGCATACGATGTTATTATTGTATGTAGTGTCTAATGGAATCCCTAAATTCTAAGCCACACAATCCACAATACCTATCCATGTGTCTTATTTATTTGAAATAAATCTTATCATATTTTTTTAACCAATCTCTAAATACAAAATTAATCTTATTAAGATAATTATATGCATAGATATCTAACTTCTTTATCATAAAATATTTATCAATCTTTATTACTTATATATTTTCAAAGATGATGATATTCATATTAGCGATAGCAACATCTTCTAAATCTTTAATAATTGGCTCAGTAAAATCTTCTTTTATAAGGAGGTAAAATCACTTTTATGTTTTCAATGAAACTAAAATCATCTGTTCCAATAAAATCAATATTATGTACATCACAATCTAGGTCTTGTTTGATCTTGATATCTTGAATATCAATAAGAATATTGTTGGGATAATTTATCGCATCTTCTTTGTCTTCTTTAGTTGAGATATAAGATATATACATCTTTTACAAATATCTTCTAATATCAATCAATTTTTTTCTTTCTTTCTGTTAATACTTTCGTCTTCTACTATTGGTTGAGAGATAAGGTTTAATGTTATTTTATCTTCTTCTCTATTAAAAATCAACTCTTTTTTTCTATTCAAAATCTTTACTGTCTATCATATATTTAAAACTATCCAACCTAATTTCTTTTAAACCTCCTGAAAAGGTTTTTTCATAATTTTTCATCTTCAAATTTTTTTTCCCCCATCAAATCTAGGTAATAATGATATCCAAAATAAATCAACATCTATACCTTCAATCTTTTCTTTTGAAAATGATTAAATTTTTAATCCGTCGATCTTTCTCTATTAACTAATCAATATCATGGTGATCTCTTCTATCGATCTTTCTTTAACTATAATTGAATATGTCGATTACTTTCTTTGCTTCAATATAATTTCTATCTCCTCATATTCTCTCTCTACTAGTTCTCTCTATAACATCAAGATTTATCTCTCTAAAACATTTTTATTTCTCTCTCTATAATGCTATCTCTCTCTCTCTATATAGTATTGTTTCTCTTTATAAATTTATTTCTCTCTAAAATATGATATAGTCCAGATACTATATTAGAAATTAAAAATCTTTGATACTAAGGAAATGATAATAAAAAAAATCATATAAGAAAATATCGAGGAGAATAGAGAATTTTTAAAAACTAAAACTCTTATTTTATACAATAACTTACAATATCTCAAACCCCAAATCTCTAAAGCCTTTAGTTCCTCTCAATTGACTACATCATAAGAACCCTTATTTGTAGACGGTTAAACTCAAAATTTTGACTTGGAACTATGATAAGAACTCCTCAAAATTCTACCTAATTATAAAATCAGATCTAATCATAAAATTGAATTTATATTCCAACAACAGCTTCGTGAATGAGTAGCAACCTCGGCTGGTTTCATTTCATACACACCTACCAAATGCTAATTAATTGCCATCACAATTATTTTGGGTGGAAGAAGGAAAACCTAACCTACACCCACCGCCTTAGGAGTATATATATGGATTAAAACATCCTCCCTAACTAACTCCAATCCTTTAGAAATAATGCTTACATTTAAGTAGATTAGGTGAGAAGAAGATCTCTAAAATATACATAAAAAAAAAATCACAAAGATCAACGAATAGATAATATACTAAAAAAATGACATAAAACTAACATGGTTTTGTACTCGTAACCTATATTAATAGAAAAAAATTAAATTTATTTTCATGAAATTAATTATAAGCATCATCATTAAGTTAACTCCGACTCAAAGATAAATTCTAGTGTCTTACACAGATGCATAAGAATTTTTTTCGTCTTGCCTTTCGATCACACCCAAAATATTTTCTAGCATTCTTTCCCCAACAAAATCACAAGATATTTATAAAATAATTAATTCCTAATTTTTGATAATTTTTTTTCCTTCTTAAAAAGATCATTTCTATATTAAGATTTATTATTTAATTTAAAAAAAATCTAAAAATACTTGACCAACAACCCAAACACAGCCAGATGATACGGTCCCAAGTCCCACCAACAGAAAGGAGACTTGTCTACTTGAATTCCAAATCCAAGTGACATGTACGTACGTACACACTCCCATCGGACTTGTCTGTTTATTACGTCGTCAACTTGCATGCTTCTTCACCCACCATTCCAAATCTAAGTGGTTTACGAGCTCACGGAACTGTTCTTCTTCCTCGGTCTCATCAGGTATCAGGCGGAGGCCGCCGAGTCGGAATCCTCTCCTGTTTCGGATGATGCAACGACATTCGACGGTCTCCGGCGGTCTCACGGCAGAACGGGAGGGGAATTGCATCCGTGTGGAATTGGAGAGGATCCAACCCAACTCAGCGGCACAGGGGCACGTGGGGACTGGGGCGCCACAACATAATTAGCGAAAGGGAATGCGGTACGCCTACGCATGTGACCGACCGAGCGTCGCTGCTCCTCCGCAGCGAGGCCGTAGAACGTGTCGTTCGGTGACCACGATGGATGCCTTCCCGTGGCGTGCATGGCAGTGTATTAATATGATAATACCGGTCCTAACATATTAAAAAACCATATATCACCAGATAGTATCGGAATCGAATCCATTATACAAATCAGTTCATTCTTTGATTTTGATTGATTAATAGATTTGGATTGAATTGATTATAATTAAAAAATATCAACTAATAAATTGATTCATCAAATCGATTCAAATTTCTAATTTTAATTTAAAATATTATAATTTCTCTTATTATGTTGGTCTAATTATAATATAATTTATTCGAAAATATATATATATATATATATATATATATATATATAATTAA